AGCTTGTCTTTTCCGGCGCCATTTTGTATGAGTTTTAATAGGGACTCCCTTGAAAAGTGGTTTCTGATGTCCACCAAAGGGCCCCTGATTAAAATTCAGACCCATATGACTTTGCCTGGCCTTTCCTGACGGGCTCATAGGGGTTGGGGGCAGAGGTTCGCTTGTTGATACTAAAGTCAAGCTCACAAACACGCAACGCCTTGCTCGTTTCGTTGTCGTAGTTGGAGCAGCGAGCGATATTGTTGGGGAGGACACAGCGGGACGGCCCAAAGTCCCCGCAAACACCGGGGGGCTCACATCGCCATTGTGCCGAGGTTTGCGCAAGCTTCTTGGATGGCGATGTCGCGGCGCAAGAGGCAGGGGGCAGACTGGGCTGAAGATGGAAGCAGAAGACGTGTTGGATCAGCTTCCTTTAGCAATTTCTCCAGGTCTCAGGAAGGGTAGTGCTTGGATAGTTGCAAGAACCATGACCGATGAATTCAGACACTGCAAGGCACCAATTTTCATGCCCTTTGCTCAACGGTGGAAGTCTTAGTGCCCAAAAGGGACAGCTCTGCAGCGTTTCCACTTTTGTATTCACTGACCAAAGGCAAAGCTCGCGCTGCCAGTAGTCCCTTCCTTGTGGCACATTGGGACATCTTCCTTGCTTGGTAGATTGGTAGACTGTGGCCTCATGCGGCCAGTTTCAGCCATCGCAGTTTTTGAAAGTGCTTCCAAACCAGCCATGCTTTTTCTGTGTGCCAGTCGCAAAACCCCAAGAAACCCACGAAGACACTTCAGCATGTTCGACCCCTCCTTTGTAGCTTCGGTATCAGCTTCTCGTCTCTCGCACGGGATCCAGGCGCTCTCCGCGGGCATCCAGGCCGTTGTCTCAGCCATGTCTGGAGAGGTGCGCTTCACTAACGAGAACGAGGCGAGGAGCTTCCACTGCCCTTGATGACCTCAGGGGCGGATGCTCGAAGCTTGTGAAATCAAGGACACCCCGATGCGGCGGATCTGAGTGTGTGTTGCGACAGGCCGCATGGACTCTTCAGCTAGGTTTGTGAGAGATGAGGCCATACTTGCCTGTCATCCAAGCTTCTGGATTCCGGCTCTTGGCACTATGATCGCTGCGTTTCAAGTCAAGCCGGAAGCAAAGGCTTAGTCAGGCTCTTGGCAACTTATGCCTTCCGACTGCCTGGTCTCAAGATGAATAGAGCATATTAAGAGGGCCTCACTACTCCCAAGTAGACCAGAAACGTGTTGCCAACGCTCTCAACTGTGTCGAGCAAACTGCCAGCATCAACGCTGAGAGCTCGTGTGTCTCATGGACAAGTTGAATACAGAATGTTCGGAGTTGCTCGATGGAATGTATTCAGTTTTCATGGTCGTTGAGTGTTCTGCTGTCGGCAGACACCAACCCATTCACTGGTGCAGGATTTTAGGCACGACCGGTTTTATTGGTCAAACAAGAGTAGGGAGTTGAGGGTCCATCCCGTCTCCTCACATTGATTTCCAGAGTTGAACACTTAGTCAAGCTATGCTGGGCTGGCCAAGTATGTGGATGTTGGCATGTAGCCTCCCGATTGATTCTTGAAGCGTTGACCACATGCTTGAAGGTGCATGTTTGGTCACACTTGGACTCCTGGATGCAAACAGTTCTTGCCCCTGGCTAGCTGCCGCCCTTGCCTTTGGGGCTTGGCTTTTGTTGTTTCTTCTGTGAGCGCACCCACCCACCCACCCACCCGCCCGCCCGCCCGCCCGCCCGCCCACCCACCCTGGCATGAACGTACCGGATCCGTTTGCCGTTTCCAGGTCGCCTTCGCGAAGCTGCGCCTGGGCTGCCGCCACGGGGGCGCGCATGGCGGCGCCGCCCTGAGGCCGGCAGTCGAGCGAGGCGATTCGTAGCTTCCGGTTGGTGGGCTTGGCGGTTTTTCCATCTGGCTGTGGGTCAAAACCAACGGTTTTTGGGGTGGATGCACCACCCATTTTAGACCATGTTAGTGGGGATCGGGCCGGGATGTTCACTGGGGGTACGATTTGGGTTTTGACATGGCCATATTTGTTGCGCGAGCTCGCTTGAAGACCGGGTTTAACTTTGAAGGCCAGGGTGACTGCGTCGGAACTTGGGGCAGTGGAGGGCCCGACGCCTGTGCCAAGGCGTCAAGACATGGATCAACGTTGATGGCCGGATGGAAGCCTTGCTGAAATGAGCAATATGCACACACACACACACACGTGTTTAGATGCATATTATATATGTATATACATAGGCCTTGTACAAACACACACGCACTTATGATAACCTCAACGGCTTCAAGGAGCTCAGTGCACATGATACTGTTTGTATGGGGTGTAACTCTACCATTCAGGCACCTGGCCTCCATTGGCGAAGAGTTTTGGGTTCGTCTCCAAATGAGCATAACCCCAGAAAAGGGTCCACACTTCAGGAAGCCTCCTTTTGGCTTTCCTTCAAAAAGGACACGCGCTGCTAAAAGGGAGGCGTCCCGATTTCTGCGGGCTCATGAGACGCCCCGTGCAACGGCGCGACGGTTGCGACGGTTGCGACGGCTCGGATGGTTCGAGGCAGGTGCAGCCCCAGCAGCAGGCGGTGGTGGTGTCCTTTTTGGCCCGGATGGCGGGCCGGCGCCGGCGCTGTGCCGCGCGGCGGGTGCAGGAGCCCGGTGGATTTCGTTCGACTCGATCCTGGTGGTTTTTCCATTGTTAATCACTGCCCCTGAGAATAAGCTGGCGGGGGGAGGAAGGGGGGGTGTTGGGGGACCCCGAATAAAGAAGCGAAATGCTTGTTGCTTTAGAATGAAAAGTGGTCTTGTCTTTATCTTGCTTTAGAACTCTCGTCAAGGGGGGCCCTAATACGACTGGGGGTGGACCTGGTGGACATTTTGCTAGCTTAGAATTGGTTTAGTAGTACCGAGGGATTTCCGAATCATTTTTGCTTTTATTAGGGGGATATTTGAGCGACTAACTTTATTTACCTTAATGGAAACATGCAAGGGGCTGGAACTATTTTTTGGAAATGTGCATATTTAGCCGCAGAACGAGTTGGGGAACACCCCGAAAACGAGATAGGGCAAACAAGCATGATAACATGGATTAAGATGACATTTTGGCAAGTGCAGCCTGGCAGAGCGTCTTGGGTTCAAGGTTGTTAGATGTAGTGTAGAGTAGACGACCTGCGCCGCATGGTCCGTGGCAACTTACCACAGACTTTCCGGGGCAAGTACTGGCCAACCCTACGATGCCTAACTGCAAAAGGGTGTGAAGCAAACTTGCGAAGAAGCAGCGTAGCTGGTTTGTTCAAGATTTGCCCCTGGGCAATTTTCAGCCATGTTAAAACGAGTTCCAAAACGAGTTCAAAACGAGTTCAGAGCGAGTCCCCTACAGAGTCCAAGTGAGTATTGGCCCAGTTCCTCCTCTCAAGTAATACTTTTCAACAAATTATGTAGCAGCAGTTTGCTTAGCGAAAGGTTGTGCGGCAACAATGAAGGAGACAAAGGAGGCGGCAAGCTAACCAAAGCTCGTTCACTTCGTTAAACTCCCTTCTTCAAGCTCTACAGAAGTTGAGCCAGATAAAACAAGCGCGGTGTTGGAAAACGAGATAGGGGGCTGCGACCGAGCGCGGGGTTGGAAAACGAGTCAGGAACACCCGTCCATTATGCCATGTAGCAAATAAAAGCTGTTGCTCAATTTGTCATGAGGGTGGGAGTTTTTTCCTATACGTATATATAATATAATATATATATATGTATATATACACATATCAGCTTCCCTCCAATTGGTGGTTTGGATTGGTGGTTTGGGGATTTGACCCTCTGGTTCTTGTAGAGGGGGCAAATTGGACGCCTGCCCCTACCCACCAAAGCACCAATCCAAACCACCAATTAGAGGGAAGCTGAATAAAAACACACACCTTGAAATTCACATGTGTTCACATGAGTGGAAGTGTTGTAAGTGTAGGTGTGTGTCACAGTGAAGCCACCTGAGCTCGTCCTGAGGAGTTGGGCTGCATCTTGGCCAAGGCTTCGGCCTCCTGGCAGGAGCTCCTGGCCAAGGAGGCCGTCGCATGGATGGCATGGGGGGCGGAAGGGGCGTTTCGGGGCTTTGGGATCCTACGTGGCAGGGTTCGAATCGATTTCTTACGAGGTTTCATTGTCGGGGGTTGGGCGCAGGTTCGTTCCTACATCGCAGGGTCTGTTTCATGGCTTTACTTGTGCTCACAAAACTGCATGGTTGGTTGGGTGTCCACGTTAGTCCCTGTTGAGGGATGGACACGGGCATGGGATCCCAGCGAGGCTCGAGGGTGCCCATGGTGGAACTAAGGCCAACGCCCAGACTTGGTTCATCACAGTTCTTTCTCAAGGTAAAAAACACGTTGCAACCTCTTGTCGTTTTTGTTGTTTTCTCGCCAGCCTGTGGGTGGTACGGGGCGGCATCACACGGACCAAACAAAAGCATACCACGAAGCTTTCTCCAAGGGCTTGCTTTTGACCCAATTGCTACCAGGAACCGCTGGGTGGGCCGTCCGGTCTCTTAGCCGAAGAGTTGAAGGCTGGGTCGAGCCAAGCTCCAGGCATGCGTGATGCAGGTCTCAGCACACCTCCCGCGGATGGCCTCCCAAGAAGGCAGACAAATCTTTGATTTCCTTTTGCTGGTCAGGGTCCGCAATGTGAGAGGGGAGCTGCCAAATTTGACAACGCATGAAGAGCTGGTTGGCCGAAACAAGATTGCGAGGATATCCAAAGGGGTGCAAGACGGGTCATCCCTTTGGCCGAGCCCAAGACTCGTGACGCATCTCTCCAGGCGCTGGCGACAGGCGCCATGGGCCGGTTGATGGCTGCGGCTTTAACGATTTTGCATCAACCCACCGTTCAGGGCTTCGGTTCTTGCCATAAACACGGGGTCCAAGAAGGGTCCATGGCATGGGCTGTGATTCGAAGAACAAACCAGTGGTTTTGGCTTTGCGCGACCTACAAGTTCCACAGGCTCAGACCATTTTTCAT